ACGTTTCGGCTGTATTCAAGCCATCTTCAGCAGTTCCCAATCATAGTAATAATTGTTCACAATCTAATGTTCGTAACGAAGTAGAAATCGAGTGCAGCAGTAAAGTAAGTCTCATCAACAGATTCCCATGTCTGGAGTGTAACCGTCAGTTAGCTGATTAGCTAAGTGCAAGCTAAATCAGAAATAATCATTTAAAAGAACAGTAAAAAATAAAAGTAACATTAAAAAAGAAGGATAACCAAACTTTAAAGAGACTTACCTACTGCAAATCATAACTGCACAATATTATAAATTAAATAAGTTGAAATCACATAAATAGATAAAATTAAATTAAATTTCTTAAAAGAAACATAACGTTCGTAGTATCAAAGCAGAGTCAATTAATATAGAAGAATATTAAGAAATAAATATTCTAAGAGAGGAAACAACAACATTATCAAAAGTTATCGGATTGAAAAATAATATAGATAGCTTAAGTATAGATACATCAATCAAAAAAATTATTAAAATTTATTAATTATGTTCGTGTAAGCGTATGTTAATTATGTTGGTGTAAGAATTCCGTGTCTGATTTCAAACAGGCCATTTCTTTCATTTTAATATTAAACATTTCAGACACTAATCTTTTCCCAATATATCTCTCATCTAAAATTTTGGTGTTATTCCAATCAAAATCTATGTTCAGAAATAACAGACAAGTTACTGTTCTTTTTATTAATGTCATTTTTATGTTCGTTGATTCTAATTTTTAATTTACGGTTTGTCTGTCCAATATTAGAGGCATTGCAATTAATCTTAAACTATATGTATATGTTTCTTTGATTTATGAGAAAGAACGTCTTTTTGTGCTTTAATAATTCCGGCAAGTTTATTCAAATTGAAGAAAGACAATTTAACATTTCGATTTTTGATAATGCTTTTGAATTTGTCATAAATACAAAGCAAAAAAAGGATGATAAACCGCGAAGTTTTATTGTTAATATTTTATCTGTTTATTTAAGCATCTTACGTTTTAAAAGAGACCTTAATCATAATCGATCATTTCAAAAATAAACTTAATAGAGTAATCATTGACCAAAAATATCTTAATAATAAAATTGAAATTATCCCTATGATATTTTGAATAAAAGATAATAAAAAAGTTCTGTCCACCATGCTCATAAGAATACCTCTCTTTTGTGAAAGAGGATAAACAAAATTATATTGTGACATGCAAATAGTATACCGAAAGAAAAATTTTTAATATTTGTGACTATAATTACATGTTATCATAATTATACTGCTATAACATTATGAATAATAATAATAACTATTTTAGAATTAAATATATTGAGTTGTCCGGAAAGTTCGTGCCGACTAACCTATATAATTTAATAAATGTATACTAAAATTTAAATTTTCTGCGTTTCAATTTTTCTTCAATATCGGCACGAACTTTCCAGACAACCCAATAACATAGGTTTATCACATATACATACATTCTTTGAAACAATATTAAATATAGTTGATCCAAAAAATGACTATGAATTATAATTAAGTTATTAGTTAAGTAATTTTAATTATACATTTTTATGTTAATAACTATAATAATTAATAATAACTATAGTAATTATGATCATTTTCGAACATATATATATTTGTTGATAGAGCTATATTATATCTAATTTTATCAACAAATATATATAATTATTCTAATAGTAATAATCATAATTAATATTATATTAGTAATAATAATGATAACATAATTATAATCACAAAAATAAACAATTTTTTTCTTAATATAAAACGTGTAAAACTCGTTAGACAAATAACGTGTTAATGAATTTCGTAAATGAATTATTGGCGAATATATAATTTTCAATTTCAACGTTCGATATTGAATTAAGATACTTTCAACGCGATGGTAATAATTAATCCCAATATCGCGTATGCAAATTAGCAAAAATCTCGAGATAAGGAGCAATCTGTTTGTTTTCTACATAGTTCACGTAGTTTATGGAGTACGTGAGGGAAAATTAAAATCGTGCCGCGATAGGGAAATGCTAGGCGGACGCAATTTTATTGTTCACTGGGATTAACTCGGTTAAGACGCCACGTCGGCGTTTACGCGTCGATGAAACTGTCGCGAAATTTCGTTATCTACGAACGCTTTCATCGCATTTTCCCCGGCGAGCACGGAAAAACCGCGCAGCGGTTCGACCATATCGTCAGCAAGCGATCTGACAGCCGGCATATGTGACGTGTAATTAAAATCATAGAAAACATTTAAATCTGTTTACAATACTCCAAATAACGGTGCAGGCACTCGCAATATGCAAGCACAAAATATTTGTGTTGCAATTTTTCTATTTCTTCTCTCTCTTTCTCATTTTTCTTTTTTTTTTTTTAACATTTTTCATAGACATATATTTTCGATTACATCACGATACTATCTGTCCTATCATTAGTATGTGCATCACGATGTAACGGGTTACATAACACACGGTTTACATAACCGCGAAATCCAATCCATATTATTTTGGACTGAATCCAAAACAACGATTAAAAAAATGTCATTCTGAACCTTTCCCTGTCTCTACCAGAATACGAGTCGACACTGCATAATTTATCAAGGATATAAATACTAATACAATCGCGCGACTTTTTATGCAATACGATATTAATATGACAACAGTGATAACAACAGTGATAAATAGTATATAACAATGGTAATACACACTAACAATTTTTTTATCACATTTTCAATATAATTAATTCGTCGCGCCCATGAAAATGCTAATTGCGCAGTTTCTCGACAATGTCCCGACGTTTCGTCTCCTTTTTTTTAACAATCCCTACAAATCGATACTTATGCAATATTCAACAGTGATACCTGATCATAACACGATATGCATTCTTTGAGCCGAGCGAGGAAGAAAATCGAGTTCGAAGACAATTTTCGGATAAAAGGAGACTACCAATCTCGCATTGTGCCGACGGACTGTTTGTAATCCGTTCCTGTTACCAATAGCAGCAGTAGCTTGCAAATCGCTGTACATACGTGCGTGTCCTATGTATGCCCGGCGTGTGCGCACGTTCGCCTGTGTACGGATTGATTGCACTTTACCTGTAAACTGATGTACCGAGATCCTCGCGATACCAGAGCACAAGATGCACGGAGTCCCCCTCGTGAGTGGTTGATATGTCGCAGGGAAGATAGGCGGAATCTCCGACCAGTGCCACGATGTGTGATATGGGTACTAAACACAGAAACGTGGAAATAGTTAGACGCAGTTAACAGCGAAAGGCATTTTCGGAAAATACGATTAGGAAAGATTTCTATTTTCACGGAGAAGACAGTTTGAATGAAATATCTAAAAATTGAATTAAATACTGATTTGAAAATAATTTTGTTGGAATAATTATGTAGAGCTTTTAAGACGCGTTAATGCTATAAAAAGTTTTAATTTAATTTTTATTCTAGCAATTAGTTTGAATAGTTATTTTGATGGTACAAACAAATTATTTTCAGATCACTATTTAGTTAAATAGATATTTCAATAGAACTGTTTTTTCCGTGTAATTTTAAATAATATTAAATCCTTTTGTACTAAAAAAGTTGCTTTCGTCAGAAAAGTTCATTTGACGACTTGTAACATTAAAAAATATCAATAACGTTAATAATATTGTTTTTTACATAGAAAAGATAGTTTTGCTGAAATATTTAAAAATTTAACTAGGTAGAGATCTGAAAATAATTTTATTAAAATAATTATGTAGAACGGTGAAGCATTGTTAACAAAAAAGCTTTTAACATTCTAACAATCAGTTCGAGCATCCTACATAATTATTATTTTTGATGGTCCAAACAAAATTATTTTCAGATCTTAATTTAAATAAATTTTTAGATACTTCAGTAAAATCGTTCTTTCCATATAATTTTATTAAAATTAGGCGAAAGTTGTTTTCCTCAGTAACGCGTTAAAAGTATCAACAACGACAATAACAATTTAAGTTGATTGAAATATTTAATTAAAACTTATGCGGTCAGATTTTTCCAAAAGTTGCTTCTCGAAATTAATGCGATTTTTGTGTCGATCTCGAGGTCGTTATTTTGTATCACGTACGATATAAAAAATGTTGCTCGCACGGTCAAATGCGATATGTTCACATATTGATAAAAGTGCAATTTACTCGCTCGGCATATAAATGAATTCATTCTATCAGAATAATTTTTCACTTTATATGCAATTACATATCGCATTTGTTTCGTTTCCAAGCGAGCTTTACAATGATTATATAATTCGATGATTCGTGAATACCCGCGTAACACGATAAGTATCAGCCTATTATTATTATCCATTCATGCCAATCGCGCTTGATATTAGGATAAACACCTTCGTTAATTTGAATTAATTTATTCGCTGTTTAAACAATAACGTTACATTTAAAAAATAGGCACATTGATACCAACATTTATGTGAAAGAATAAAATGAAAGCAACAATATTAATTTTTTCATATATTATGTAATTACGCGGCTTTTATTCTTTCTCATTAAATGGTTTTACAGCAGCATATGTAATAACAGCTGTTATTGCACGCATTACGAGCCAGACATTTTACATCCGCTTCGTGAAATAAAGGTTGAGAGGCGCTTTTAGTTATACCTTCGATAAAACATTCCCAGGTGTATATTGTACGAAGCCATACGAAAACTTCGATGCATTCGCACATAGATACACCGCAATAAGGCCGTAAAAATTCAGTGTGCTACACCGAAGATAAAATTCGGAACATTGAGGGAGCATCACGCATGAGTTGTTTGTGTTACAAAGCGTGGCAGCAATTCTTTTGTACGAAATTAAATAATCGTCATTTATTTAACGCATTTTCTCTTTGCTCTTCTCTTGTTCTCTTTCAACGTTTGCGAACGCAGCGGTGACGATGGAAAATCTCGGGCTATTCATGGAGCTATTTCAGAGAACGTCATCGCTAGAGTTCGTGCTCGCCTCGACATTTTGCTGTGTCGCCGATGGACCTTTCCTCTTTTCCTAGCCGCGATCGACGAGATATCTGGCATTGAAAATATCGGCCGGCAAAGTTTTATCAGAATGCCTCTTACCGGAAATAAAATTTGTGCCAGACTTCTAAAGTGCAAAGTATTCGTTTTGCGGACTCCGGACGGAGCAATCTAGTATAAATAACATTTTTTTTACAATTACATTGGCCGCTCGATAAAAACGCCTCTGCTCTGTACACTTCTACGTCAGTCCTGAAAGCGTACACACTGGTTTCCATTATTTCCTTATGTAACGAAAAAAATCCATCCGTACATAATACTTGTGCTAGATCTCGGAAAAATGCATAAGCGATGCATGTGACGTTTACAAGTTTGCAATGCAGCTCCGCGTTCTTGATGCACAGGCATTTTATGATATGTAAGTATTTCAAATATGTGAATGTACATATCGCAAGATGAATTCATTGATCTTGTTTATATATATGTATGTATATATATATATATA